TTTCCTGGAGTAACAAACTCATACCCCATTCTTCCTTATTCATATGCAGGCACTATACAATGAAGAGGGGCATTATTTCAGTCCATCATAAATTTATTGAGGGGCCACAGGGACTTCTATTAGGTCTAGGGATAAAAGTGAATTAAAAAGCCAGAACCCCTGTTTTCATGGTGTTTACAGTCCAGCAGGGTGATCCACACCCATCAAATCATCACTGTAAAATGTCCCCTCAAACAAGGAGCTTACTAAAAGGGAAATGCACACGATGCTAACAGTGTAAAATGGGGCCCTGATGCAGTCTCCAGCGGGGTTGTTTGGAATGAAGGGGCTGCCTTGTGAAAGAGGGGGTTTTGCATCCTGAACTTCTATGAACAATTACTTCCCTCAGAAGCAGCTGGAAGCCAACAATCATGTTGCTCCTTCTACAACAACAACAAAATAGTATAGGCACAGAAAAAGCCCCCAAAATCCATGAAAGTGCTCATTCTTGGGGCAGAGTCCCTGCATCCCAGAATGGGTCTAACGAGTCTGTGATCCATGGACCACCGAGAGCCATAGTTCACTTAGCCACTTGGGAAAAAGTGACTACTCGGAAAGCCTCGTGGTTCTAGTCTGCGTTCTTCAGGCCCAGAGAGGAAATTAGCCCGACCTCGCCAAGAGTCAGTAGCAGAGATCGGCGGGCTTCCAGGCGAGCCCCCTTCTACCCGCACTTATTACCCCAGACACCACAGATTCCCGGAGCCCCGCCCTGCCACCCGCTTCTCTCAGGGGTCCCGGGGCACGGAAAATCGACCGCCCCTCTAGGATCGGTCTCCTCTGGACCCAGAGGAAAACCCGCGGTGGAGTCCCCGGCATGGGGCGGGGCCATGCGCGCAGGCGCAATGGCCGCCAGGTTGGGCCGAGGAGGCGCCCTGCTCCACACCTGATGCAATCAGCCTTCCGGAAACGGGCACTGCCGCCGCGCTCCTGCAGGAAACGCTTCCGCGCCCTGCTCCCGCCGCTACGCTCCACGCCCGGCTTGGTCCCGGGCAGAGGGCGACGTTCTGCATACCCCAGGGGATCTGCCGGCGAGGTCGGGAAGTCGCCTCCTGGACCAGCAAAATGCCTAGATGCCCTGGAGAGTGACGTCGAGACGGCCACCGAGGGTTCTGCGGCTGCAGAAGGAAATTCCCTTAATGATTTCCAGAAAGGACGGGCGGGGGCTGCAGGGCCGACTTTTAACCTTCCTTTGCTTCCTTCCTTCGTCCGCTTCCCACACCTATTTTCTTTCTCCCTGGAAGGAGAGTTTATGGTAACAGCTGTCCGAAGGCAGGATGGGAAGGACGCCCTGATGTACCTCTCTGCCCTGCTAAATATGCAACAGTCCCTTAGCCTGCCTGGCTCCATTGTATAAATAAGTAATCGGTGTCTCTGTACCTCGTCCTTTAACTCCACAAAGAAAATCATTTCCCGTTTCTCCATCTCTTGCAATTTGGATCGCTATTGTGAGTGGGTTTTTCCCTGAGTGCTGACTCACCCCATGAATTGTTTTCTAAGGAAATGAAATATTCCAAGAATATGCTAAGAGCATGTTTTATAAGGTATGAAAGCAAACGCTGCAAATAGCACACAAAAATCATGTCTGAAGTCCCTGAAGGCCAAAGGTCCTCCTCAACCTCCTGGGGTAGGGGGTGGGGAGACAGGCAAGGAATTTTACTGGGAAGGAGACTTAAGTGACTCTTCTTAGAATCAAGTCCAGATCATCTCAGAGATTTTACAGGCGATGTTTGCCTCTCTGTTGCCCAGTGATATGAATGCCTTTTCCCTCACTTAAGTCAGAACCCAGAGTTCTCAAAATTCGAATGGTCCGTGGATCACAAACTAGTTAGGCCCATTCTGGGGTGCAGGGACTCTGCCCCAATATATAACATATATTCAAGAGCATATGTTATAATGCTATTTTTCGATCTATTTTTAATTTTGTTAAAAAGTACAAAATTGGTAGCCACAAAGGGGATCCTATTACTTGTCCCTCCTTGTTAAGTCATTAGTCTTTAAATAGTCCTTGATCAACAACCTATCCAACTACGTCTCATAATGCCAAACTAGGCAATTAGTATCTCAAAGTGGTGTGAACTATAAGACATCAAGAAATCTTTTGTGCCAACATTTAGAACCTCTAGTATTTTTATTTGCTTGTGGAGTATGTGAACTATTTGAGGTTAGTTAATTCAAGGGAGTTTTAATGATCACAACAAAACATTAGGGTCATGGTTTGCTTTTGTTACAATTTAAAATACTTTTCACAATATAGAAATCAAAAGGAGGGCTGCGGTTGGAGCTCAGTGGTAGAGCGCTTGCCTAGTATGCATGAGACACTGGGTTCGAGTCTCAGCACCGCATATAAATAAATGAATAAAAGTTCTGTCAACAGCTAAAAAAAAATTTAATGCTTGCAAATTTAAAAAAAAAAAAAGAAATCAAAAGGAAATACAAAGATAGCTTCACAACTCAATAGCTGCAATAAGATAATATCTAAATAGTAACTTCAGAAGTCTACCTTTTTATCTTGAATGTGTATTTCTTTTTGGAATGTTCTGACATTTAGAGATCTGGGAGAATACCTGCTACAGCAAAAATAGAGTTGAGTGAATGTCAAAACACAAGGGTGCGATGTACAAGCTCATCACAAGGTACTGATTATAGAATACCTAACTTTTCCTAAGTGTTTAGCATGTGCCAGAGACTGGCTAAGCGTTTTATATGGGTTATGTAACTTAATCCTCACAATTACCTTGTGAGGGAGGTACTCTGTTATCCTTATTTTGCCCACAGGCAAAGTAAGGCCAGGGGAATGTGAAGTAACTAAAGGAAGGTACAACATATTTGGTGGCATAACTGGGATTTGAACCCAGGCAGTTGGCCTGGAGGCTGTGTTCTTTAACACTACACAGAAAAACACAAATGTGGAGAGACTGATTATGATTTCTGTCTCATATAAGAAAGTGGAGTGTTGTAACTTCCTTCCCCTTTTTCTAAACCAAAAAATTTGATAAAAATGTTTGTGGTCTACATTAGGAAAGAAGCCCTGCTAACTAATGAGTTAAGACCCCTGTTATGGTTTGGATCTTAAGTGTCCCCCAAAAGCTCATGTGTTCAAAGTCCCTGACTGGTGGTACTATGGGAGGCGGAAGAAACTTCAGGAGGTGGGACTTAGTTGGAGCAAGTAGGTCATTAGGGGCGTGTCCTTGAAGAATGTATTGCGACCTCAGACCTCTCTTCTCTTTGCTTCCTGGTATTATAAAGTGAGCAGCTTTCCTCCACCTTGTGCTTCCGAGTGGACAAACTGAAACTTTGGAAACCATGAGCCAAAATATTTTTTTCCTCCTTTTAACTTGTTTACCTCAGGTATTTTGTCACAGTGACAGAAAGATAACATCATCCCCAAACTTAGGACCAGCCTAACCACCACAAATAAAGAAGACAATCAAATATCTAGTGATTTTTCAGGAGTACCCGTCAGGTTTCTCCTTCAGTGACTGCTCTGGGCCTGGTTGTTTTCTCTAGTCCCAAACTGTGGGATATAATAGTCACCAGCCACACATGCTTATATATACATTGAAATTCATTAAAATAGCTCAGGATTAACATTTCAGTTCCTCAGTCACAATAGTCACATTTCAAGTGCTCAATAGCCCCATAGGCTGATGACTGCTGTATTGGACAGGACAAATACAAAACACTTCCAGTATGCCAGAAGCTTTTTTTGGACCATGCCGCTCTGGTCCTTTATAAAAGTTTTACCCTCTTCTTATGCTACAGTATCCCATGCAAAATGCCATCTTTCCATGGTCTGTATCTCCCTGAGCTTTGGTCCTATTTTTCTAAGTTGAAATTATTATCAGAATATAGAATATTATCATGGAAAGAATAGAAGCTTTGGAGTTAAGACCTTAGTTTAAGTTACAACACTCCACTTTCTTATGAGACAGAAATCATAATCAGTGTCTCCACATTTGTGTTTTTCTGTGTAGAGTGTTAAAGAACACAGCCTCCAGGCCAACTGCCTGGGTTCAAATCCCAGTTATGCCACCAAATATGCTGTATCTTCCTTTAGTTACTTCACATTCCCCTGGCCTTACTTTGCCTGTGGGCAAAATAAGGATATCAGAGTAGCTCCCTCACAAGGTAATTGTGAGGATTAAGTTACATAACCCATGTAGGAAAGACTTGGGCAAGAAACCGAACCTTTTTTATCTGTAAAATGGGCATGTTATGAGTCTTTATGTTGTGGGTTTGTTTAGGACTAAATGAAATAATATGTAAGTTTCTGGCAGGCCCTGTGTAGGATGCTTTCCTTCCTCCCATTCCTATTTCAGTTAATGACATCAACAATTACTCAGGTTTCTAAACTAGAAATCTCAGTCATCCTCCATTCTCCCTTCCTCCTCAGCCACCCGCCTCAGATTAGTCATCCAGCACTTTGCTCCCACCTCAACAATGCCTCTCAAATCTGGTGCCCCTCTCTGTCCCCATTCCACTGGCCTCATGGGCTTTCATACACTATTTCAGGATACTGCTAACTGACCTTGGTGATACTCATCACTCCCACTCCAAGCCCTACCCCCATACTGCTGCCACAGTGATCCTTATAAAAGAAATGCCCCTGACATCATTTTTCTCCCTCAGCTCCGGCCCCACAACTCCCAGCTGCCTAAAGACAAAATCTCATCTGTTCAATCTAAGGACTCACACAACCAACTATCACTCCATTTCAAGCCCACATTTGGACTGTTGCTACCAACCCCTCTTTCAGGCACCCCTTCCCAAAACCATACCTCTTGGTATGCCCCCCAACACCCTATGTCCCAGAAGCCCATGCTGTGAGCCTATGTGGGACACAGAATGGCCTTTTCTGTCCCTACCCTTGCACATACCCTTCTTCAACTGAACTAACGTGATTACATCTTCTTTATCTGGAGAAATCCGACTTACTCTTGAAAGTCTAGTTCAGCTATTACCTCTTTCTCAAAAGCTCCTTCAACTCCTCAGGGAAAGGTGGTCACCAGCTCCTCTGTGATGACGTGGATGCCGAGTTCTGGATATCCAGGTTTAAATCCCGGCTGCACCACTCTCCACCTGGGAGGGTAGTTCTGAGCAAGTGACTTAACCTCTCCCACCTCAGTTTTCTCCTCTGAAATAATGACAATCAAAGCATGAACATGTTAATGTTTTTGCCAGAGTATGTGAAATACTACACATGACAATGTGCCTGGCTCAAAGGTGAGCACATAATATGTATAACCTTAAAATGATGACCACTAGAGCTCTATATGGACCCTCTTTTAACATTTTAGGTAAATTTTAATTTTTAAAAATTTTCAGGTTGGGGATGTGGCTCAAGCAGTAGCACGCTTGCCTGGCATGCGTGTGGCGCTGGGTTCGATCCTCAGCACCACATAAAAATAAAATAAAGATGTTGTGTCTACCGAAAACTTAAAAAAATAAATATATTAAAAAACTCTAACTCTCTCTCTCTCTCTCTCTCTCAAAAAAAAAATTCTATTCACAATTAAACTTGATTTTACATTAAATAAAAAGTGTTTTATCACACAAGTACTTCATATTCATGGAACAAAATTTAGGAAATACACATAGTGAACCAAAACAATTAAATTGTCTATTGTTTGAGACAGCTCTTGGTTACAAGCAGAAGGAACTCTCATTAAGGTAAACAGAAAACTGAACAAAATAAAAAATATGGGATGGTTGTCAGGTAGCTCACTGCATTAACACAAAGATGGAGAATCAGGTTGGGAACGGGATCAGGATCCATGGAAGGCTGGCAGCAAATCACACAGAAAAGACCATGCCAGCACAATATGCCAGCAATGGTACGACACTGGCCACTTTCTTTGGCCACTGAACCTCTGCAGCTTAGCCTCATCCCTGCCCTAATCAAGGTCACAGGCACAAGTACTTGAGTGGCTGAGCCAAGGTTATGTGCCCATGCCCTAGCAGCCAGAAGACAGAGCAGGAATGTTGGCCTCCCTGCAGATTCCAGCTCCCAAACCACAAAAGGGAGGTTCACCAAGAAAGGAAGAGGGTCTTCTCCCCTCTCCCACTCACTCACCCCACGATGATCACTCACTGGCAAGCAGCAGGTACTTCCAAGCTTTGGTGCCTTTGCTGATGGTATTCCCTGTGCCTGGAAGATGTTCCCTGCTCTACACATTGCCCATTCCTACCTCCTTCATCTTGTCACTTTTCAAAGTCTTTCTTCAGAGGCCAAGATTCCTCCTTGAATGCGCCATGCTGGTTCATCGCTCACTGCTTAATTCCAGAGCTCCTGGAGTACTTCACACATCCAATTAGACGGATCCGTCTTTGTTGCTATGCTGTGAATTATTTCCAGTCTCATCATGTAGAAGATACTTAATAAGAATCTGTTTAATGAGTCATGGAAAGAAAAAAAGAAAATTAGATTTTCAGGGTCTATACTAAGTAATTTACAAACACTAACCCAATTTGGTCTCAATTTATAACACAATTTTTCCTCAAAAAGGCTGTGTGTCACCATTTTATTCCAGAAGAAACTGAGGCCAGAAGAGTTATTTTCCAAGGTTCACATAGCTATTAAAGGACAAAGGGAAAATTTGAACAAGGCACTCTTACTCCAGAGTATAAGCTCTTACTCAATGAAACATATGTCTCCAAAATATACTGCACAGCCCCTTTTCATCCACCATGGAGATGTTTTGTTTTGATTAAACCATGACAGCCTCTTGGCATTAAGAAGAATCTAAGTAAGTGTTTCTATAAATTTTTACTATTAAAAATATATTTAGCTAGATTTGGTGGTGCATTCCTGTAATACTAGCAGCTTGGGAGGCTGAGGCAGGAGGATTGCAAGTTCAAGGCCGGAAGCAACTTAGTGAGACACCGTCTTAAAATGAAAACTAAACCAGGTGTAGGCGCAGTGGTGCATTCCTGTAATTCCAGCAGCTCGGGAGGCTGAGGCAGGAAGATTTGAGTTCAAAGCCAGCCTCAGCAAAAGTGAGGCACTAAGCATCTTGGTGAGACCCTTTCTCTAAATAAAATACAAAATAGGGCTAAGGATGTGGCTCACTGGTTGAGTGCCCCTATGTTCAATCCCTGGTACTAAAAAAGAAAAAAAGAGCTGGGGATATAATTCAGTGGTAAAGCACCTATGAGTATAATCCCTTCTCTGTGTGTGTCTGAGTGTGTGTGTGTGCATTCAGTAAATTCCATAAACACTAATGCTGTGGTTCCTGAACAATGATAATGAATGGCTCAATATAAGAATTCATAGAACCTCAATTAAATGAGCACAGAAGCACACAATGAAATTCATCTTACTCTTGGCCTTTCCCCTAGGCTACCAGGAGAGGTTACTATAGACACTGGTATTTTATTGAATTGACTTTAGCTACAAAGAATTTTATGTTGTTATGCTCCAGGCAATCTCCATCCCTGGCTCTTTGCTTATCATCAGAGAGTAGAAATTTGAGTCCAGAGTACCAATATGCATGGTGTATCACAATTAATCCTCTGCACAGATAAGAGCAAGAATTTAAATCTTGTGAATGGAGGAAAACCATCACCTTCATATTCGAAGGATACAATATAAATAACAGTATCTGATCTAGGAAAATAGTTTTAAATTCACACAAACATAATTATATAAGAAGGAAGAAATGGGAAACACAGAGACAGAAGACATTTATAAAGAACTGAAAATGATTTACAAGAGAATATGCTTTGCTCATACCAGAGATAGATAAGAAATATATTGTTAATTTGCCAAAAGAAATTGATAGTCTCCTTGATCAAATAGGAATTTATAGTCTCCTTTCTCTATTTGTTCCTAACAGATAACTTCTACTTTAAAGTGCCTTATTACAAAGTTTGCAAAAAAAGAAGATGAAGAGAAAGACCTACAGATCTCAAGGGGTTTTAAGGGATCAAATGTTTATAATAAGTAAACAATTTGTCACTAGATTAAATGAAAACTAACTTCTCACAAATAACTGAGAGAATAGAAACTGAATTTGGGAAGAAAGAGGCATTAGTATTGGAAATGGAGTATGACTAAGAGCAATAGTACAGAATTAATACTAACATGAAGGATAGATGTTAGAAAAAAGATTCTTGGTAAGTTCATTTAGATAAAAGAAAAAACTTCAAAGGGATGTAACCAGTGCTCCCTCCCCTGAGACATTTAAAATTAACCTGGACAAAGAACTAGAATATATTTTGTAGAAAGCAATCCTCTCTGACAAGCTGGTAGATTAGCTCTAATTGATTTTTCCACCTCTAATTTCTCTGACTCTCTGAAATGCTATTCTTAGAAGACAAATGAGTTTTCCTTGAGGTTGAATTTTCTGTCTTTATTTTAATCAAATGAGATATGATTTCTCATGGAAATAGTTTCTCAGCCAATGACTTGGCAAGTAATAATTCTAACTCTTATTTAGACTATAAAAACTTCAAATCAAAGTTGCAGTATTAGTAAACATGATAAATCACAATCTATTTCCTTTCATCTTGCACTAGTTACAGAATAATATTCCCAAGAAGAGAAGAAAGAGGGTATAGTACAAAAACAGGAAAAGCACAGCAAGCTGCTGTAGCCTACCAGTTTTTACATTTTTGTTCTAGGTTCATATCCTATCTAGAAAATTATCAGTAGAATAACATTTATTTATTTTGAAAATATATCAGAGATTTATTGACTCAGATAACAGTACAATGTCACAAACATGTCACTTATTGTCAAAGAAGAGCTAATTTTAAAAAAAATTTAAATTTTTCCCTGACGTCTTTGAATTTTCTGAGAATACCACTTTGTCCTAGGCTCTTGATATTTTTTATTTTTATGAAGAGAGAACACTAGTGAAATAGGGAATAAATCTCTTTCTCCTTATATTGATTTACAAAATAGTTCCTATATCTTATAAGTTGTTTATCCATGAGTGAAAACATGACTGGAAAAAATTTCTTGATTAGGAAAACTTTTTTCTACACTAGGTTATAAAGACATTTTTCCCTATCCTCATATATTTCAAGTTTTGTATATTTCACTTTGTTTTACATTTAAATCTTATTTGTTTTCTAATACATCATGAGATGGGGATATAATTTTACAAGTATAAAGTCAACTATTCTAATACAACAAATCCAACAAGCCTTCTGTTTCCCATTTGTATACCTAGTTCTCCACATTTTATATACCCAGTTCTCATTGGTCTGTGTCCTAGGCTCTTGATATTTTTTATTTATATATTTTTAAAAAATATATTATATAAATAGAATACTTTTTATTTATATAATCACTGTAGGGTAGATCTCTCTTCTTTGTCCTGCTTTATCAAACATACCTTTGTTTTTCTTTTGAAATATCTCTTCCTATAAAATTTATCAAAACTTTTTTATTTTTATGTCCATTTTGATGGAAAATGTGTAGAATTTTTATTGATATTACATTTAATATAGATTTATTAGAGAACTGACATTTTTACTGTATTGAATCATCCATACACAAAGGTATCATATTTCTATTTCTTCAAGTCTTTATTTTAACAAATATTCTCTACATCTACTAGACTGTACATTCATGAAAGCCCACATAACTTCATAAGTTTGAAAACAGTACTAGTGAAAGAACCTGAGCTCCTTAAATCTGCTACTACTTCTTTGAATGGCATAAAAATCCTCAACAGCAGACCATTTGCCCTCACTTTATTTTTATCGGATTTGACCTTGGAAAAAGTCATGAGATGACATAGTTAGTTTTTAAGAACAATACCTTTAACAAAGTGACTGTTGTTTATATAAATCTGTGGATTGGAATATTAGTCTCAATTTTAAGGAGTTTAAGCTTACAGTGCCTCATAAATGTGCTCAGGTTTGCAAGTGAAGTCACAAAGAAAAAGAAAACTCTTTTTAAAAACTGGTTTGCTTAAATCATTTACACTTAATAAACCATAGAGCAACCACTAAAAAAAAAAAAGAAATAGCCACATGTATGTGTGTGTGTGCGCGCGCACACACACACTCACACACAGACATGACATAGAGTGAAAAAGAATACTGAAAATACTTATGTAATCTAAAAGAATACAGGAAAAGAAGAGGAAGAAAACAAAAACATAAGAAAAATAGAAAACAATAAAAATGTGGGCATAAATATCACCATATTAATGATTACATTAAATGCAAATGTTCTAAACATTCTAATTAAAAGAGATTCTTAGATTGGCTATAAAAATAAAAGGCCAATTAAATGCTAAATACAAAAAAGTCATTTTAAATATAATGTTTCAGATAGATTACAATAAGAAGTTAAAGCACAAACAATGAAAGCACTAATCAAGTGTTGGTCTACTAGGGCTACCATAATGGAATACCATAGATTGGATTAAACAATATAAATTTATTTTCACACAGTACTGGAGGCAAAATTCAACGCTGAGGTGCCAATAAGAGTGATTTCCTCTGAGCCCTCTCTTCTTGGTTTGCAGATGTCCGTGTTCTTTGAGGCCTCACATGGTCTTTCCCCTGTATGCATGCCTCTCTGGTATCTCTTCTTCTTAGAAAGGCACCATTCGTGACCATAAGAAACCTTAATCACCTCTTTAGAAACCCTATCTCCAAATACGGTCGCATTCTGAAGCTCTAGGGATAAGGTCTACAAGAGATTAATTTGGAGAAGGGGAGACCTAATTCTGTCCATAAAAACAAAAGAAACCTAGATTTGCTATATTAATATCAGACTAAGTAGATTTCAGAACAAAAAAAAATGCCAGGAATAAAGAGAGATACTATATAATGAGAAATGGGTCAATTTTCCAAGAATACATAATAATCTTAATGTGTATGCACATTAGAATTAAGGATCTAAGTAGAATGAATTGGACATAACTTTCCTCTCCTTATATAAGAATACACAACCAGTGTAAATCCATATCATGTACAACCACAAGAAGTTATATTGCATGATGTATGATATGTCAAAATACACTCTACTGTCATGTATATCTAAAAAGAGCAAAATTTTTTTAAAAAAGAATTAAGTATCTAAAATACATAAGGCAAAAGTGATAGAAGTAAAAAAAGAAATAGACAAATCCACAGTTTTATATGAATTCCTCAGTAGTCGTTTCCCTATGGTGAATAGAACAAGTTGAAAACAAAATTAATAAAGGTACACAAGATCTGAATAATTCCCTCAGACAACTTGACCTGATTCACATTTATAGAACATTCTGGCCAACAACAGAAAAACACACAATTCTTTCAAGTGCACATGAAAAAACTGAAATCAGACAAAGATTTTTCTTTGATTATAACAGAATTAAACTAAAAATCAATAGCAGAATGACATCTGGAAAATCTCTAAATATCTGAAAATTAAACAATGAAC